CACGCCCAGGTAATTGTAACATTTTGAAGAGACTAGTCTCCCTATGTTGCACAGGTTGACCTGGAACTCTTGGCCTCAAGCAGTCTTCTCACCTCTGCCTCCCAAAGTGCTGGGATCACAGGCATGAGCCATGAGCCACCACGCCCAGCTATGACCATTCTATTTCAACCCTACTGATTTCCTTCCTCTATTTCATATGTGCCAGTCATGCTTGCTCCTCCCTGAAAGTCTTTTCATTTACGATTCCCTCTGCAGTCTCTTTCTAGATATCCACAATTTGCTCCCTTAGCTCCTGCAAATCTTCATTCATAAATTATCTCTTTGTTGGGGCACCATGTCACACCCCTGTAATCCTAGCACTCTGGGGAGCTGAAGCGGGAAGATCACTTGAGCCAAAGAGTTAGACGCTGCAGTGAACTAGGATTACACCACTGCATTTCAGTTGGGGTGATAGCGAGACCCCCTTCTCTACAAAAGTACAAATAAAAGTAAAACCATCTCCTTCTTGAGGCCCATCCTAACCACCTCATTTAAAATTGCAAGACTTGCTTCATCTCTATTATTCTTCACTGTATTTTCACTGTAACACTTGCCACTTCTATTATTTAATTTCCTTATTGTCTGTCTCCCTTCTCCTCCACCAGGGTAAGCTCCATGAGAACAGGGATCTTTGCTTTGTTTTTATTCAGTGATGTACCTAAACACCTGGGATAGGCTCTGGCACATTGATGCTCAAAAATTGTTAAACAAGTAAATTAAAATCCTGACTTTTCAGAATCTTTTTGATATATTGTCTAACTAGGCCACTTATACCATGATGCCAACATGATAAATCTACAGGTTTCATATAATCTGCACACTTGTCAGGACAGAATTTTGCTTTGGGGAATGATCATTTTGTACTCTGGCAGGACAAACAAACTTTAGGTGTCCCCGGAGCATTGTTTACTTTTATAGATGTGTTTCTATTTTTCTTCTTCTTTTTTTTTGAGATGGAGTCTCACTTTGTCGCCCAGGCTGGAGGGCAGTGGCATGATCTTGGTTCACTGCAACCTCCGTCCTCCCTGGTTCAAGCGATTCTCCTGCCTCAGCCTCCCGAGTAGCTGGGACTATAGGCGCATGCCAGCACACCTGACTAATTTTTATGTTTTTTAGTAGAGACACGGTTTCACCATGTTGGTCACATGGGTCTGGATCTCCTGACTTCGTGATCCGCCTGTCTCGGCCTCCCAAAGCGCTGGGATTACAGTTGTGAGCCACCGTGCCCGGCCATGTTTCTCTTTTTCTAAGAAACATACTGTTGCTGCAAGGATTTGTTCTTTGAACTCCAATACTTCTGAAGTACAGGGAAGCATTTTATAATCAACTTTCTGAATGTTTTGCCTCAAAGGAGAAAAAATTATTACACTATGTGGGAGTGCTAACTGCTGCCAAAAATATTTTTTTTTATTTTTATTTTTTTTTGAGACGGAGTCTCGCTTTGTTGCCCAGGCTGGAGTGCAGTGGCGCAATCTCGGCTCACTGCAAGCTCCGCCTCCCGGGTTCACGCCATTCTCCTGCCTCAGCCTCCCG